TCATGCATGCTAGGCAGGTATTCTGTAACTTAAATAACAGCCCCACCTGATTTTTGCTCTGTTTGACTTCTTTATTCCTTCACATTGCAGCTTTGAATGCATAAGTTCATAAAGCCTGTCCTTTTAGTGTTCACAATATATCAGAAGAGAGCAAAAATAAAACATGAATCTCTATCATCACATAGTTTCCTAAAGTAACCAGGATAGATAGGTTGAAAAATATTTCAATCTATATCCATAATCCACATTTATAAAATACTACAAATGTCTATCTTTTGAAGAAACAAACAGAGAGAACACCAGACATCTGGATGAAAACTGAAAATGTCACTGACATATCGTTATGTCTCCAAACATAAGGATACCTGGAATTTGTAGACTTAACTACTCAACTGTTTCCATTTTTATGTGGGCAATCAAAATACTGTAGGCATTTTCTGATGAATATTCACAGCTCTAAGATATGAAAATTTACAGAAAATAATTGTGTAAATATAATTTTTGAATTTAATTGTAATATTCCCAGAGATTACATTTGGTCATGGCAGTTGGTCTAGTACACCCAATGGAAATAGGCAGTGGAAACACTTAGCCAAGCAAGTCAGTGGCAGAATCTGTAGCTGAACAGAAGAATTGGAGACATGTAGGATTTAAGGTCATCGTAAAAAGCAAGGAAAAGATGGTCTCTGTACTCCTGTCTGAATAGATTAGTTTATATCTCATTAAAAGAAGGAATCTTTCCATGTTGGAGACAGTAACTGAGTGGACTCTGTCTCAGCAGCATACCAGGATTGGAAAATACATTTTGAATGTGTGGAGGGTTAGGACATCTTTCATATAGAGACTAAATTCCTCTGTACGGTGCTGCCTCTCACCTTTATCCTCTATTTTAGCACAGTGTTTATGACCTGGAAATTCTATTTCTGCTTCTACAACTTTGTTCTAAAGTCTCTTTTTTCTAAGTCTGTAAGTCTTACAAGTCATGCAATTAATGTAATCATAGTTTTGCTTTTCCTCATGTTTTTGAACAAACTGAATACACATTAGGTAATGTCAGCCATTTTCAAGTAACAAACTGAACGAGAAGTAACTCTTTTGAGAAGCAACAAGTCAGATAGATTTGAGTCTGGATTTCAAAGGTCTTTACAAGTTGTCAGTACATATTACAAAAACCAGAATTATCAGAAATATTTTTCTCATTTCAAACTAACTTTCCTTTTCTTATACCATTAACTCTTTCACCCAATGGGATCCTTTTTTTTCCAAATGGACTCAAATCATGTTCAATCTTTCAAAATACCTGACATATCATTAATTAAGCAAGGGAAACATTAAATACAGCAGTAAGAAAGGAAGAAATATGCTAAAATCACTGGTTATGGTGGTAGTCTTGGGGATCAACTTGAACAGACAATATTGTCATGGAGATAAATTATTAGCTAAATAGCTCAGTCTATTCCTCTACATTTATAGAAATAAAAATACAAAATAGAGTAGGGTTATATAAAAATGCAGAGCAAAAGGCAAACCACTGTATGTTTGACATAAAAATTATTCTCCTTTATAGTCATCCAAAAAATGGATGGCTATTCTAAAACAGTTGGCATTTGGCCATGTAATGATTACGAGTAACAAGCAAAACATAATGTTTTATTTCCACTAATGGAGTATGATCCAACTAGGTGGGATTTCCCATTTATTTTGGCAGAGGTATCATGAATTTAATCTGTTTATTCCGGTAATTTTAGCTCATTTACAAATCTGCAGCATTGTACCTTGATTAGCTTTGTGAAAAGGTTTCAAAAAGTGAAAGGATCTTCTTTTCCTTCTGTATTTGACAGCATTAACTCTATAAAAATTTTCATTGTACCATTCTCTTTATATGCTCATGAAGCTACTTTCTCCCTGCTTCCCACTGGGAGATATTAAAAATCTAATGAGAGCTTTTTCCAAATCTATCTGAATGTAGAAAAAAACAAAAATAAGAAAGTTTGTCCAACTGAAAAGACCTTGTGATAGGAGAACACTTAGACTGACTAGCTCTGTAAAGAGTTTTAAGTGACCTGACAAAGATTACTAACTGTAGATCTTCATGAGAACATGTTGGAAGCTGGAAGCTGGAAACTAGAAGCTGATTGCTAACATGGAGTTACTTTGCATGATCAGCCTCCTTTCCCCCCTTTTATTTGACTGGATGAGAGTCAAAGAGAATAAGAGATTATAAAGGAAAGTATAGACACATCTAACATTCATTATGGAAGATACAGATATGAACCTTACTTCTTTGTGAGATTGAATAACATGACTATTATTCAAGTAGGAATTACAAAATTCAAATCATGCATAATCAAGTCAGCCAGAAAAAAAGGAATACCCAAAAATACCTTCAAAATTCTGAAAACCAGATTTGTACAATTCCTTCAAAGAAGAAATCATTTTTTAGATAAAAGTAAATCTCTGATCCATGACCACCCCTAGATTAGTAAGCACAGAGTCTTAACTTTGCTCATGGCTCACAGCATAGTAGTCTATCTGTCGTATATAGAGATTAGAAGTTTCTTACTTCCTGCATGTGTTATATAAGACATGGTTGTCTTTCCTGGAATTTGCTGTCTCTGTATATAAGAAAGAGTATTTCCTCTCCCATCCTAATTTTGCAGTTTCCAGATACAAAAAATAAGAAAATAAAACATGATTATGTAGATGTGTGCTGCTTTCCAATGTGCCAAATGCTATACACTTAGAGAGGGAACTTTGTGGTTTTTTTTTTCCTTTTATTATTCATATGTGCATACAAGGCTTGGGTCATTTCTCCCCCCTGCCCCCACCCCCTCCCTTACCACCCATTCCGCCCCCTCCCTCTCTCCCCCACCCCCTCAATACCCAGCAGAAACTACTTTGCCCTTATTTCTAATTTTGTTGTAGAGAGAGTATATGCAATAATAGGAAGGAACAAGGGTTTTTGCTGGTTGAGATAAGGATAGCTATACAGGGCATTGACTCACATTGATTTCCTGTGCGTGTGTGTTACCTTCTAGGTTAATTCTTTTTGATCTCACCTTTTCTCTAGTTCCTGGTCCCCTTTTCCTATTGGCCTCAGTTGCTTTTAAGGTATCTGCTTTAGTTTCTCTGCATTAAGGGCAACAAATGCTAGCTAATTTTTTAGGTGTCTTACCTATCCTCACCCCTCCCTTGTGTGCTCTCGCTTTTATCATGTGCTCAAAGTCCAATCCCATTGTTGTGTTTGCCCTTGATCTAATGTCCACATATGAGGGAGAACATACGATTTTTGGTCTTTTGGGCCAGGCTAACCTCACTCAGAATGATGTTCTCCAATTCCATCCATTTACCAGCGAATGATAACATTTCGTTCTTCTTCATGGCTGAATAAAATTCCATTGTGTATAGAAACCACATTTTCTTGATCCATTCATCAGTGGTGGGGCATCTTGGCTGTTTCCATAACTTGGCTATTGTGAATAGTGCCTCAATAAGCATGGGTGTGCAGGAGCCTCTGGAGTAACCTGTGTCACAGTCTTTTGGGTATATCCCCAAGAGTGGTATTGCTGGATCAAATGGTAGATCAATATCTAGCTTTTTAAGTAGCCAGAGGGAACTTTGTATGTGACATTCAGATGAAGGAAGTGTTGTGCCCCATAACTTTGGTACAAGTCATAATATTTAATAAAATATAGAGTACCAGAAGATAAAAGTGTTCCTGTGTATATTTCTACTACCCAGAAATAACCTACCAAAGCTGAAATCTTAAACGTTAACACAAAGAAAGATGATTTAAGAGACTGGATAAATAACTTGCTCCCAAAAGAAATGTATTTATTTGTCCATACCCTGTCAATTTCCTTGGTTCCAATAGCATCCCTAGAGGAAATAAGTACAGTAAAAGAGGAAATGAAACTCTAGCCCAAAGTGCCAATCATAATTGCACTGTCCATAAAGATGTTTGTGAGTGCAATGTTTTTCTAAAGATTAGAAACTGTTAACCATTAGTAGGCTTCAGTCTCCTTTTGCAACTCAGAATCTGTACAAAGAATGCTCTGTGTCCCAAATGCAGTACATCATTTGTCATCCAAATAAAATCTAAGAGAGGAATCTAAAAGGCAACTAATTTTTAAATATTATTTAGGTCTCATTTATTGGGGGTCTGTAGATCATTAATAACTTCAAAGTGTTGTTTGAGTAGGTACCAGAATTTTGAATTACTGAACACAGTATGATTTCAAAATACTGTATTAAGGTGGCAGGAATATTTACCAATGGTCTATGTGCCCTTGCTTCCCCTAGTTACCCAGCCTTCTTGTAACTTAACTTCACCATTCAACTGTTTCTGAACACTAGCATGTGAGTGGAAGTGACATGGTTCATTTCCAGGTGAAAACATTCAGAGGTCAATTCATGCGCTTCCACTTCTTTCTTACCTCCTGTGGTTACCAAGGACACCACATGTTGCTGTGCCAAAGAGTGGAATTGGGTGTATGAGTGATTATTTGGGATGCTGGACATGTAGAGTTTTTAATGGAGGGTAAGAAAATAATGAACACTTTTGTGTGTTAGGCCATTGAGGTTTGAGGGTTAATGTATTATTATAACATACCATACCCTATCCTGAGCAGCACAGAAAACTAACCTGGGTTTTCTCACTTTTAATAATGCCTAATAAGAAGAATTTTAAATATAAGCACAAGAAATTCCTACCATATGAAACTGCTATAAAAAATGATATTTTTAAACAAAAAATGCTGGAAGGTCATAATCACAGAATAAAATGTCCCTTGCTAAACTCAATAAATGGAGCTTTCTTTGAGACATCATTATATTATTGTTATTTTGCCATTATTCTGACCAAAACCTCCATCATCGACTAGTGTGCCAGCCTTCCAATTGATAGAAACAATGATCAGATATTTCAAAAATGGCAAAAAAAAAAAAGATTGTTGACTCAAAGCAAGTTAAAAGATCATACAATGACAGTCTTATTTTACCTGTCTTTCCGTGAGATCTAGATTCACTGCTATCTCATATCTTCTCAGTCTGGTCAAATAATTATGATGGGCAAATTCAGCTTCAAGTTCTCTGATTTGCTCCTTCGTAAAAGCTGTCCTTTCCTTCCTGGGTTTGCTGTTGACTTCAGATTTGTAATTTCCTTCCTGGGAGTCTGAAAAAATCGACGGTAAAAGAACACTGGTGTTAATGCATTCATTCAAATACATGCAATCCTATCATTCACAGGTACTGTGAAACTACTTTTCTAGGTACTTTGCTACACAGAGGACAAGCGGAGAACAAAGACCATAAAATTGATCTCACCTTTACAGAGTAAGATACACTTCTTATTTTTTCATTAATTCACAGCCTGATTGGGGAAGTGTTTAACTTTTGTCTTACAAAACATAAGCAAAAAAATTTTAGTGCTTATTTTATGGTATAATAATAATAAAATAAATCAAAGCCTCACTAGAAAACACTTATAGATATGAAGTTTGGCCTTAACCATACACTTGAGGTCCAAGTATGATTGAATACATAATCCTAAAGAAGTAGTAATGGATATTTTAATAACCAAATGTTTAGCAACTGGCTATAAAAGTTCAAGCTCAGACTGAGCATATGCAAACATTTGTGTATACTTGTGTTTTTACGTCTATTTAAATACCATTTCTTTGATGAAAATAGTTATATTCTTTGTTGTATATCATACTTAGCTCAATGTGGAATCATTTCTTAAATTTTTTATTAGGATATATTCATTGTGACAATTCCAAATAGGCTTATATTGTATATTGTTTAGATCATCTCTTCTACCCTTCCCTGTCCTACTTAAAGCTCAATGTGGAAACTGTAAATAAAATTGTGTTCATATGACTTAAAATATAAATAGAGTTTTAAAATGTTTTTCATAACTTATATGATAAACATAAGCTGTACAACATCTAAAATCAAGTATACATATCATCAAATCTTATGATGTCATGTAAAATAACAATAACCTGGAACATGTCATTCCATCTTTCTTCTTCATGGATTAATATATAATTACCATATAGTATTTTATGCAGCCTTATAATCTCAAAATGGAGGTTAGAAATATTTATAATACACTGCAGAATGAGTGTCTAGATGGAAAATAATCTATGTACACCAAGTAGAAGTGATTGTGCCGGGCTTTAGTAAATCCTGTCACATTTACTCTCAGTGAAATATCAACACAATCGTGACAAAGGGCATACTAGTACTCTTTTGAAAGTTATTTCCGGTTTCTAATTATTTTTGAGTATCACAATGAGCTGTGATAGCTTTTTCAAGTGGGAGTACAGGTAATCTTCTATAAACCTAATGCAGGAAAAGTGATGGCTAACCAAAGGTACAAAGAGTGGTACTTTAAATGCTTTTTAAATTGACAAATATAATATGGTATGGTTTAAAATGGTCTTTTAAGCTACATTTGTTGTTTCATCTTAACCATGCTAAGTAGTACAAAAATTGACATGTATGTGTTCTTTTCTTTTCTGTCTGCCTAACTGTCTAACTAAAGGGGGTTTCACATAGTGGAAATTCACTAGACAGGGCATTTTAATATAAACACATTTGTTTTGATTCTTACCAGAATCTAAACAGACAGATTTAAAGTTTCTAGGTCTATGAGCAGCAGCAATAATAGGTTTGCATGGACATGTGCATACTGGATTTTCCTTTTCCTCTGATGCATCAGAGTAGGATTTACTATCTGGCACACTGGCTCTGTGTAAAATTCTTCATTCACTGACCACACTTCTGGACTTGTCACTTATCTCCTGGTTGACTGGCTTCCCACTTTGGCAAGTCAAAGTGATACTTTATCTCATGTAGAAAGTGTTTGGTGATATGTCACACACAGGTTGATTACATCTTATAGGCCAGTGGGACTGGGGGAGTTATAAAATAGATGAAGTGTGAGTGCTCGAGTAGGTACGTTTACATAGTGTCAACCTACCTGGCTCTGAGCGGAAACTGAAGTTCATTGCAAGCTTTCTAAAATACAAATTTGCCAACATCTCCATCATTGGCACATTGAACTATTCTGGCATTATTTGAACAAAAATATTTAAATTCTTTTCCCATGGGCTGTTCTGGCAGACTACAAACTCTGTCACAGCACAGAATATTCTGATAAGTCCCTTTCACAGGCATCTGTGTTCTTACATGAATCAAAAGACTTTTTGCCAATTTGGAGTCACTCTTTGCTTGAAATCTGCTGCTGATTAATCTTTATATGTAGACAATGCTCCTTTCCCTTCAGTCAAGCAACTCTGGAAACTGACAGCAAAGCCAGAACATTTTTTCTCATGTGCAATTCAGTTTGAATGATTCATGGTTAGCACATTCCCTTATGTAAGCATGAATGAACAAATTCACATTGAGAAAAGCCTATTAACTTGTATTTATTTTTGTTTCTTTGAACCTGATCTCTTCTAACTTTTTGCAAAATTCAGAAATAATTCATAAATGGCACACATACACACAAGAACATACAAGACATGGGGCAGTACTTGGAAGGACAGTCACAAGTAATGGATCTATACACACATCCACTTTGACTAGCAATATACAACAGGAGGTTTATATACCCAGTGACTGGATTTAAGCAAAAATCTGGCCGTCACTCAACACTTAAATCCCAAAACCATTTACTGAATACTTGAATTCTAAACCAAAATTGCTCACAAGTGAAATCCAGTGAGTAAAATAAAATGAGCCATGTACACTTAAATTTACAATGATCAAAGAAGGAATCATTAAATTGCAATTAATATGAAGAAGAATGGGTGTTTCTTGCCATTATCACATAAGAGCAATATCAATGGAGTTAAGGTAACACCAGTGTCCTTTCATCCACTGGGCACTTCTTTTATTGTAGTATTGTAGTTCTTTTGTGATTTTCACCCACACAATGCTCCCACTCTCATTAGAAACATACTCCCTTGAGTTTCAGTTTTTGACTTTTGTTTCTTATTATCTTGAAATTTTTTTAAAAATGACTTCTTTTTAGCTTTCGAAGTTTGACACTTGTTGACCCTGAGGCCTCTGCTATTATCACCTGATTAGCTTTCTTTGGTGGAAAATGGGTGGGAAGTTTGGACAAGGCTTTTGGCAAATTTCGCATCAGTTTCCATCTGTTTCCCAGCTGTTTCAACTGAAGCAAAGCTCACTCTGTCTTCTCTAACCTTTGCCAAATGGTAGGTGTTTTGAGGGGGAATCTGGAAACTGCTTTTCTGTATTCCCTACAACCACAAACAAAATGTCACCATCTGTAGAGTATATTCCTATGTAAAACATTACAATTGTTATTTTTCGTCTCAGATACTTTAATGCACCTGTGGGTGCACCCTTTTACTCTCTTGCCGCATTGAGGAAATGTTGACTTATGTGCTCAGGTATCCTTGGCAATCCCAGGTCTCTAACCTTTTGCTCCCTGGGACTATGTTAATGGAAGAAGTCTGCAATACTTCCGTAGAGGATAAAAATTGTTCCCCAAGGATCATTTCTGTCTAATGTTTAGAACTGCTACACATGTGACATTTTATTTTCCCTAGTGCAAAACTATGCCAAACGATAATAATGTTTTATTTAAGGCAAGTGATGTGAGGGCTTGGTGTGTTCACTCATGGTACAGAAAGCTTTTTAACAAAGAAGAAATAATATGGTATTATGGAGTATATTTTAGCTACTCTGGGCAAACTGAACTTGTTTAAATGATAGATGTAATTTACCTATGTCTATAAAATATTAAAATGAAATGGGATGTCCATATAGCTTGATCTAAAGTGAAGTCTTGCTCCTACTCTGAGGGAAGAATATTAAAGCTTAAAATATTCAAGTCCTTTGCAATTTCTTGTTAAGTGTTCTATAAACTATTAAAAATGAGAGATTTCTGGTATTTGTTAACAAAACTGCTAAGTCTATAGATGTAAGAAGATAATAATGATCTGTATATAGGCATAGGTATTGTGGATGAAGGCAGAAAATTTATAAGATAATCCTATTGATGCTAGTAATTTTCACATTTAAATGGGAAATTGCTTTCCTTATGGGCATTGATCCAAATTGCTACTCCAGCTAACTAATGAGTGGGCATTTTAGGCTCGCTATTTCTTTAAAAAGTAAATAAACTTCCCTAGGGTTTTTTAAATCCTGTTGCCAATCCACTGCACTGATGTAAAATCCACAGCGACAGTTACTATTACTAATGAATGTGTGTATTATATCCTGAGGTGGATAAGGTATAAAAAATTGCCTGGAAAATAACCATGTTAGACCTAGAGTAGAATAGCAGTACAACATCCACTATTTCTTAAATCTCTGACTTAAAACAAAGTGCAACTATGATACTCATTTCTCTAATAAAGTAAACCAAATCTACATGCTACCAGAAAAGGAATTTCCACAGATTTTTGTCACAAAAATATTTGCCTTTAAAATGGGAAAATCATTCCATACCTGGACAAGTGGTTGTCAGTTTGTCTATTGGGTTCTTTTTCTCTTTCTGCCCTTCTGGCTTACCACTTCCTTGATTATTTTTGGCGTTGTCGAATATGCTCTCAGGTATAAAAGAAGTCAGGTAAGCCTCAGTTTAGTGAAATTGATTGAGTAAGTCTGATTCTATGTGTGTAGGTGACAGTATGCTTTGAACATATACAAAGAATATTCTATTTATTTCTATTAAAGCCATTAAAGTTCTTACTTTGGTGAGCTATATTGAAAGATTAACTGTGTACAGCTAAAAATTTCATGCAACAGTCTTCCATTTTTAGTTTATAAATTTGACTTTTTTCCAGTATGCTTAAACTTGTTTTATGCTAATTCTAAAAATTAGATTAATTGAAGCTTGACATACTTGATCTGTCAATACTCCTTATATAAGAAAATATACTTGCTTACTTATAACACAAACCTCACATACAAAATTATGACTTGTTTGAAGATTTGAGGTGCTTTATACAATTTAAATATTTTATGTTGCATTTGAGAATGAAAATTGATTACCAGAAATACCTAACATTAATTTATAGTACACTATTAAAATTTACCCCCCAAAAAAGAATGAATTCAGTCAAGTTCAAATATATTTCTATATGTAGGAGACAATGGCAGATACAGACAACAAATACAAAAATAACA